TTGCAGAACAAATTCAGTGCGTGTTTTCTTTTTCTTTGCTGAGTCGAACAGCTGCCCATTGTGTGGTCTGTTGCTTCTTCTGCCTTGGTCGGGTGCCACCGTGACGCTTCTCGCTGTACAATGCTCTGCTATATATATATATATATATATATATATATATATATATATATATATATATATATATATATATATATATATCAGAGTCACAAGTTCTATAAAATTCTATAAAAATGTCTGCATAATTCTGTGGTTGTGATGTAAGTCATTCAGAGTGGTTTGATGTGAAATGGTTCATTTGTAGAGATTTCTTTTTTTCTTTAGGGGTGGTGATAAGAACCAGTTGTCTATCCAAAACCACCAGGGCTGTCGGTGTTCAAACAATTTGTCCTACCTATCGAGAGGTCCTACCGAGGCATTCTGCGCCTGCGCATATCACTATTACATCAAGATTCTGGTGCTTGGCAGCATGCCTATAAATTCATCCTACTCCAATTTTGACCTGTTTACAGTACAGTCAGGTAACTTGTTTTTTGTAACGTTTCACTGCTCATTCAATGTAACTAGGTAAACTTGCCTAGGTTTGAGACTTGTTTTAGCCTGATAAATTCATACAGAAGGTAGTTCATTTAAGTTAACCAGACGAGTATGCAGTGGTATGGTTGAAGTACCTAACTTAAACCCATTAAAACACTGTTGTCCATGACACACCTACAGTGATATAAAAAGCAGAGATGTTTGGTCTTAAGGGATAAGGGCTGAGCAATTGAGTGATTTTTAATCTTACCTTATTATTACTTATCTGTTTACCCTTTAAATTAATATATAAATATAGAGTAGCATTATTAGTTGTATTTTAATTATGTTTGCTCTAATTTACTTTTTTTGTTATATTTTTCCTGACAGCTATGGAAAAGAAGTGGAAGACTATATTTTCTTGCTCTTCATCATTTACACACAGCACTACTCCTACAGCCTAAATCAGCTCATTAAATGATACTCCCAGCATTAAAACTATTGGTAGGATAATCTGATAGCCTAAATCACCTCATAAAACCAAACTCATTAAACCATTGGTAGGATGATTTGATAGCTAAATCATCTCATGAAACGATACTCACAGCATTAACACTATTGGTAGGATGATCTGATAGCCTACATCAGCTCATAAAACGATACTCCCAACATTAAAACCATTGGATGGATAATCTGATAGCCTAAATCAGCTCATAAAACGATACTCCAGGCATTAAAACCATGGGTAGGATAATCTGATAGCCTTAATCAGCTCATAAAACAATGCTCTAGTCATTAAAACCAAAGTTAGGCTAATCTGATAGCCTAAATCAGCTCATAAAACAATACTCCAGGCATTAAAACTATTGGTAGGATAATCATCAGTCATTTTTATGGACTGTGTGCTCCTATGTCAGTAAAGATTCTGGCTGATTTTACCTACTATAAAATGAGCTCTAGAAATAACCCCATTATAAATTATTAGTTAATGGTTAATCTGTTTGAAATGTTTCATGTGCTATGGAAAAGGAGTTTTCACAGTTTTTCCTAATTATATACGCACTGAAAGAAGCATGTACTTGTATTCTCTGCTGCTCAAATCAGGTTATTTATTGTCCTCCCTAAAATGTATGACTGTCAATAAAATATGCAAAATGCAAAAAAAAACAAAACAAAAAACAAAACAAACAAAAAAAAACATTGTAATGATATTTACTGTTGACAGTAAATTACCTAGTTAACAACAATGCTAATAACACACTGCATTCAGCTAGATTATTAGTGTAAACTAAAAAAATATAATTAAATTAAATGCTTAGGTTTGTTTTCTACTTGGTGTATGGACCTTTTTTAGTGTGACAGCAAAGTGTAAATTGAGTACCTCCTCCCATCTCTGTAATTTATGAATCATGAAATGAAATCCTGTCCAGATAGCACTTGAGTTAGATCTGTCTGAATATATTCTGTGTAACTGCACCACTGTTAGATATATCCAACTGTTGAATATACACCAGTGGAGGTAAACTTAGGGTACATGTTTCTCTAAATGCCGATTATCTTGCAAACATCTCTTCCAGGTCTCTTTCACTAATCCTCAAGCCTTATTTTTTTAAATACTAAAAAAGAAGAGAAGAGTTATTAAAACCAAAGAGCCCTTTTTCTCCAATCGGTGGGCACTCAAGCATCATAAAAACATGGACAGCCATGTGTTCCAGATTTTTCTGGCATGGCATGTCAGCTGACATTGAAAATTGGGTATGTGGTTTTGTTGCTGCTGTGTTTTTTATTTTGTTTGCTTGTTTATTTCTTTGCAATTACTTTATTTTAAAATAACTGCAAGCTATTTTATCTTAAAGGTCTTGGAATGTGAGAAAATGTCAAATAGTTGGCAAACCTTTGACTACTGCGCAACCACTACAGTGCATTAAGGTAAATACATGCAGTAACATGTTAATGGTAAGCAAATTTGTTAAAAGTATACATTAAATATTCAGACTGCCATACGAATAAAATAATTAATCATGATTAATGACAGTATTTTGTTTAATTTATCAATTGTCTTAATTGACCAAATTTGATTGAGTGGACAAAATAAGCTTCATTTGACTAAGTTTATTACTTTGTGTCATTTAGTGACAATTTTTTTGTCATGTAAGGGCTCCACGATATGGACATGAAATGTGATGTTTGATAAAGCTGTTGGATATCACAGTGACGATATGAGAAGTGATATTGCCTCTGACTGGATGTTACACAATTGCAGACTTTTGTTGCCATATAAACAGAAATCTGAATAAGCTCCACTTTAATCAAATAGCAAAAAAGACATTAATATCTAATAATAAAATATATGACATACTAATAGCTTATTTGAACCTACAAGCACATGTTTTGTGGACTGTAATCTGAACAAGGACACAGTGTCACGGATGGAATCAAAAGCTGTTTGCCTGCTAAGGCCCCCTTGTCGAGAATTTGTAGGCTGCAAAATGTGAGTGAGTTTAATAAAAGACTAATATACATGTATATTTTTATTTCCTATAGAAGTCTGCACAAGCAAACAAATATGTTTAATTTCTTAAAAACCTCTGGAGCTGGAGCTTTCCACTTTGCTATTGCTTTTGTCTGTTTGCTGCTTGTTGATTTATTCTTTGGTCTCCCATGAGTACTGTCCAGTGTAGTGTGTAGAATGTGCCAAAGGTATCACTTTAAAAGCAGTTTAATTATTAAAATGACCTTACTAATTTATTGCAGTAACTATGACATTAATAGGTATGACAGCCTTATAAAATAAAACTGAACGACATGGTAAAAATGTAATGTCACAATATTTTTTTTCCTGACATTTGTTAAGTTGGAAAAAGATAAATAATTGCCTCATTTAAAAAACAAAACGCTGTTGAAACAGGGCTAATTATGCTGCACCTCCGCTCTGTATGCTGACTCATCAACCTAATTAGTTTTATTCAACCTAAATAAATACTTTGAATGAACGATTCTTTAGCTCAAAGTAATTTTTTAAGTTGAGTAAAACTAGTTAAATTGCTTGTTACCACTTGTAGTCATTTTTTTAGGTTAAGCTGACAAGGCATTTTTATACTGTACATTATTGTTTTTCCTTTGTAGGTGTCTAAAGTTTGATGGCTTCCAGTACATTTTGACAGTTACAGATTACTTCTCAAAATGGGTTGAGGCCTTTCCTTTGAGAAGTAGATCTGCAGTGGGAAGATGTATTTGTTCTATCATTTACAGACATGGCTGTCCTAAACGAATCCTTTCAGATCAGGGACAAGAATTTGTCAATGAAGTAAGTGCATTATTTTAAAGTTCATCTTAAAACTGGAAAGCTATTTTGAGCTCTCAGTTTTTTTGGGATTCATAATAGCTTACTTTGCATGTTTTTCCTTATTATTACTGGAGTGCTCATGATTGTTTTTAATGTGCATCCTAATCGAATGTTCTTTTTATAAATATGTTTGGTTACGACCCCATTTTCAAAAAAGTTGGAATGCTGTGCAAAATGTTAATGAAAACAAAATATATTTATTTGAAAATGGTACAAAGACAACATATCAAATGTTGAGACTGAGAAATTTGAACTGAGAAATTGTATTGTTTTTTGAAAAATATATAACCATTTTGAATTTGATGGCAGCAACACCTTCCAAAAAAATTGGGGCAGGGGTATGTTTACCACTGTGTTGCACCACCTCTTCTTTTAACAAAACTCTAAGTATTCGGGAACTGAGGAGACCAATTGCTGTAGTTTTGAAAGTGAAATGTTTTCTCATATTTGCTTGATATAGGATTTCAGCTGCTCAACAGTTCAGGGTTTCTTTTGTTGTACACTAAAAAAAATGTAGCTTGCACAACAAAAAAATAAACTTGGTACAGAATTTCCCCAAATTTCTTTTTGTTCACTCAACTTTTATAAATTACTTGTTATACTGACTGACATTTTTTTGTCAACACTAAAATAAATATTTAGTTGAGCTAAGATGAGAATATTTGTTGTATAAAGAAGTACAACTATTCTTGAGCAAAGCTCTTTGAGTTGTACTGACTTTTATTTTTTTGTTTAACAAACAAAGAAATATGAGTTGTACTCATTTTTATTTCTTTGTTTAACAAACAGAAAATGTAGTATATGTAACCATTATATTCTAGCTCATTGAACAAAGCTTTTTGAAGTTGAGTTAACTAAAAATATCCTTTGGAAATCAGTACTAAGGAATATTAAGTTGTGCCATCAAACTTAAAGAACACAGTTGGTGTTCAGCTCTACAGTAAAACTGTGAATGTGTAAAGAAATAAAAGAGGTAGTACAACACAGGTGAACACAGCTGAGCAATCAATAATCTGCCACAGTTCTAAGAAAATAATGTCAAACATTAAGCCACTATGTACTGCATCATGTCCTCTAACAATTATTAAAGCTCACCTGTGTTCACCAGTATGTGGACATGAACTGATTACACCAAAAAGCATTTTGAAGCAACTACTTTAATCAAAACAACTTATACAGAACTTACAATTCAGACAAAATGAGTGAAATAACAATTACATAAGTAAAGAAACAGTTACAAAGGTGTTTACCAAAAAATTACAAACTAAATTGGTTTTGGTGTACACACTCACTGGCCACTTAATTATGTACGGCTACCTTGTATCTATGCTCATTTCTAATTTAATCAGGTCAATTTAATGTATAAATGCGCTTTGTAGTTCTGCAATTGCAGATTGTAGTTGATCAGTTTCGTTTATCAATGATCAGGACCCCTACCTGGACCACCACTGAGCGGGTATTATTATTATTTCATTCTCAGTACTGCAGTAACACTGGCATAACAGTATGTGTGGTATTGGTACTACTGCATCAGATACAGCAATGCTTTAAACACCTCAGTGTCACTGCTGGAGTGAGAAGAAAAAAAAATACAACAACCAACAAGGTAGGAGTGTCTAATAGAGTGGACAGTGAGTCGCCACAGAGTTTAAAAACTCCAGCAGCACTGCTGTGTCCAATATACTACCCAAATAATACGTGCTCTTTGGTTGTCCTGTGGGGGGGTTCTGAACACTGAGGAACAGAGTGAAAGGGGGCTAAAAGGTATGCAAAGAAACAGACAGACTGCAATCTTTAAGTTAGGAATACCTTAAAAATGGCTGGTGAGTGTATGACAGAGAAACAGCAAGAAAATGAAATCTGAAGCCTACCCTACTGTGCTAAACATACTCGTCCCTTAACAGATGTGGACGTCTCTGGTCAATTTCTTTGTCACTTGCAGCTTGTGAGGGTAGATTCTTCATGGCTGTATCAAAAATGATGAAAAAGTAAGCAAAATTGGTAATAAACAGTCACCAGACGCAACATAAGGATGATAAAAACACCCAAAAAAAGAAAAGACATACAAGAGAATACAAGAAGGAGCATGTTATTGTGAATAACAATGTACAATGTTTTTCACATCACACAATCTTGAAAGCTCTTGCTTTCACGCAACAATTTTGCAAAGTAAAGAAAAAAAGCAAAGCATGTGAGCCATAGTTCTAAGTACATCTAAAAATTAATAACATTGGCAATATTTTGAGCTAAAAGATGTAGTAAAACGTATAATAAAATCTGTACTAATAATGTGAAGAGCAATACTATAAACAGTTCAAGTAAAAGAACGTGGGACAAGCCCAAATACAAACTTAAGTAAAAGCATAAATACTCTTGGTTAAATTTTACTTCTGTAGAGATAATCAGTCAATATTTGAGCTTGAGTACTTGCTTCTAAATTACATAAGTATCACAAGTAACGGTTATTATAGAAAATTTTAAATTTTATGAACACTTTCTGTGAAGAATACATTGCTATAGACACAATCAGTGAACTCCTTAACATAAATAAATATATCAAACTATAAGTCAAAACAATATAACTGCAACTGTTAATGTCCATGATCCTAATAAACACAATTCATTATACATAAAACACTAAATTCTTGTTTCACCATTATCTTCCATCTGCATTGACTTTCACAAAAAAAACATATACAAAATAAAATAAAAAATAACCAATAATAGTTTTATGCTTTATGACATCTGGTTGACACTGACTTTAAAACCAAGAAGCTCTGTAGGTAAAATCATAAGTAGAATACTTTTACTTTAACTCAAATCATATTTTATAAAGATAATTTCTACTTTTACTCTGGTTCAGAAGTCTCCTGGTGAGAAGCTCCTGTAGCTACAATGTGGTGGATGGGAGGGGTCTGGAAGTAATAGAAAAAGAGATACTGAAACAGGACTATAGTAAAATTCATATTTTAAACTTTGGTTGTACAAGACAGGGATCCACTCTGGAAGCAGATATATTAGTCATGAAAACTCGAGAGGAATAAAAAAAAAAAAGGACAAGTTGAGAAAACACAATCCGCTGTAGGCCGGATCAGAGGCATCCTCACCAGTCAGAGTTTTAGTGATTTTAAAATGAAAATGAAAAATTCTGGTGCACATTAGATTAAACTACAGGAAAGAAAAAAGAAACAAGTGGTTCAGTCAAACAAAAAAGTTTTATTACTTAGAAACAAGGCATGGGCACAATCTTTGTGGGCAACACCCCCCTCCCCACCTTAAGAGTATTTTCAAGTTTCAAAGAGGAAAGAAGCCCACCATCTTACAACGTCATCTCAATCCTTAAAAGTTGGCAGACTCTTGTCCACATTGTACTGAAGAATATTAGTTACCAGTTCTGAACAAAGAAGGCCATAGTTCTCTTATTTTTTTTAATTTTCCATTAAATCACCTTAAATCTCAATGTTTTCACAATTTGTGGTGGCACAGAAATATGAATAAAAGTCAACTTCGGCTTCATGCTGTAAAAAATGACTTGTCAGTTCAAGCAAACTTCATGTGGTAGCCAGTAAATTAACTAATTTTATTCAAGCTAAATAAATAATTTGAATGAACAGTTCTTTCAATCAATGTAACTTTTTGAGCTGAATAAAACAATCATTTGCTTGCTACCACATGAAGTAATTGTTTTAGGTTGAACTGACAAACCATTTTTTACAGTGTATGAGTGATGCAATATGTTTATTTTAAATGGTAAGAAACAGAAATACAATCTGTGCTACAGATAGGAGAACTGTTGAGTACTAAGAGAAACAAACCAGCAACATGTTAAAGAAAGAGCTAGCTAGCTAACTGACTGTTAGCAAACGACGCTCATGTTCATTTTAACATAATAAAGAGTTCAACATTAACAAATGATAGTATTAGATTTGAGTAAATCTCTCACTGAAAAACTGCTGGTACGTCAAATAAATCAAGCATTTACTTACCAGACGCGTTTTTCAGGAGTTGGGCTTGGCCAGGCCTTCTTGTCCAACATCAGTGTCTGACCTCACAAATGCGCTTCTGGAAGAATGGTGAAAAATTCCCATAAACACATTCCTAAGCCTTGTGGAACGCCTTCCCAGAAGAGTTGAAGCTGTTATAGCTGCAAAGGGTGGGCCGACATCATATTAAACCCTATGGATTAAGAATGGGATGTCACTCAAGTTCATATGCGTGTGAGGGCAGATGAGCGAATACTTTTGGCAATATAGTGCATGTTGTCTTTCTACTATTTTCAAATAAATATAGGGTTTAAATGATTTGCAATCTTTTACAATTTGCATAGCGTGCCAACTTTTTTTTGGAAATGGGGTTGTACTATAATAATTTCTTTTTGAAGCTTAGCCATAGGCTTTGTGAAATGCTACGCATTGAAAGGAGTGTTACGGCAGCCTATCATCCACAACCACATGGCCTGGATGAAAAAAACAATGATAACATAAAACGATGTGTTTCATTATTTGCCAAACTGACATATACCGCAAACATTTTAAATGTTATCTTTAGAAGTGGTAGATATGTTTTTCCATTAGATGGTATAGAACCCCACAAATCGGAGTACCAGTGAAACAAAGTGTAGGAAACCGGGGGAAAAACGAATTGTTCTCCAACATAAGCATTTTATAATAAAATTGTAAAATACTTAACAAACCATGAATGTGACCGATGAAAGCTTTAAGTGCCGTTCATCTTGTGGTGACGGTTTTGGTTAATAATTAATTTGTTTGCTCAAATTTACTTCTAAATTTTTACAATTTGTACTATTTCTTAACTGTTTTTCAATTTAGCTTTCTACAATCATTCTTCCTGAAGGAGGATCCAGTGAGTTTCGTCCTTCAAAAAAAAAAAAAACAACGGAGGCTATTAAAAAAACAACAAAAGAGAACATATGCAAATCTCAAGAAAAACAGAAAGAAGCCTATGCCAAAAAGGTAAGGAAGAAGTACCAACACAGTTTTTATAATGTTGGAGATGAGGCACGTCTACTAAATATGAGGAACCATGGAAGGAAAGGGGCAGGAATTGAACCTGATTTCTCTGGTCCATACGTCATCCAGTCAGTCTGTGGCAAACTTGTCACATTAAAGAACCCTGAAGGAGCTACCTCACATGAATTTAAGCAGTGCTCAATCATTTGAAAATAATAAAAATAAAATACAAGATTGCTGTTCAAAAGCTATTTTTTATTTTATTTTTTATTTCAGCTTTTTTAATTTAGATAAAGCCAAAGAAATTATCCAAATCATACATCTGGATTCACAATGGCATGGACAGCCATCTTATGGAAACCACTGGGTCAGATTAATACACTGATCATATAATGACTAAGGAATGATGCCATGTTATAGTACCATGTGCACATTGCAGGGTAAACACTGTTTCCTAGTGATGCCTCCACAGTCCAAGATAATGTTCCTAAACACATTTCTTAAATTTTAGATTAACATATTATTTAGGTTACATTGTCCACCCATTTAATTTTTTTCTGTTTCATTGTTGTTTGCATGAGGCCTGCTTGGCATGTTTGCTATAGACTGTTCATTGTATGTTGCCTTTTTGGCCTTGTGTTGTTCGTCAACAGAAAACCGATAAGATGACACTGATGTTTCCATATTTACTTTTCAGTATTGAGTCTCTGGGCTTCAAAGGACCATGGCCAGGTGGAAGCAGTTGTTGGACCATATAAATTGTATGATTCCTCTTTTCGAACACTACAAGGGACTGAATGGCTGGCTGATGAAGTAAGAATCAGAAATTACTAGAGGTGTGCAATTCAGGTCCAGAAAGTAAAAATCTTCCCCAGGATTTTGTTCCAACTGGCTGGATACCACTTTGAGCTAAGCAGAGAAGCCAGGCGGTTGGAACAAAATCCTGAAAGAGATTTTTACTTTCTGGACCTAACCTACCCCCCTCTGGAAATTACAGTGTTTAAAGTACACCAAATTATTTGTTTGTTTATTGACATTTTTATACAGGTATATACAGGTCATTGATGCATACATGCACCATCTGATTGAAAAGCATAAGGCAAGCAGTGTTTACAGATGTAGCTATTTTAAGATTTTTGATCCTTTATGATTATTTTTTTATGTTGCTGATGTTTTTTATTATTTACAGAAGCCTGCATATCTGTTAAAACCTTCATGCAGATGAAGTTTCCAGTTGAGGACACCTGGCTGTGCCCTGTCAATACTGGAGCACATTGGATTCTTGTGGTGTGTGTTTTCAAACTAGATAGCTTTAGTAATCTTTCTTTGCAAATTTCCAGACAATCTGAGTCACTGTTTTGAATACATTGTAAAGACATATATTTTAATGAATGACTAATATTACAGCATATTGTAGTCAGAAAGATTTAAGTTCATGAATTCAAAAGTTTTTTTCAGTTGTGTTTTTAGCCTTTCATTATAGTTCCTAATCCTGGTCCTGGAGTCCCCCTGTCTTGTATATTGTGGTGCTTTCCTGCTCTGTTTCACCATCTAGTGTATTTTAAATGTGTAAACCACTAAAATGTGTATGATTCTTCAGGATAAGGGTTGGGTAAAGGACCATTTCTGGCTTTGGTAAAGAACCTTTTTTGGTACTATTTAGAATCTTTTTTTGCTTAGACTGTAGTAAATAATTATTAAATCAAAGTATCTTAAAGCCTAATATATTTACATTACAATATTTTAGATTGTCGACATGTCAACAAAGACAATCTCCGTCACTGATCCGATGGGAAATGAAGGATTGTATGAGAGAAAAATTCTGCGGAACTGGAGGTAACACTGCTTATGGAGAAACATTCATCCTTGTTACAAAGAAATTTACATGCCAGACTGTAAACTGTACCAATGTCTTCGGCCAAAAATAGGAAATTTTTGAAGATGATGGGACACAAAGACCAGCACTGAGTGGCAAACTAAAGCAAGATTCTAGCAGCTGTGGAGTTTTAGTACTGAAGGTACGATTTTTTCCCCATAAATGTCATGCCAGTGAAATTACAGTTTAAAAGGTTTGTTAATAATTAATATTGTAGTTCACAGAACATTTCTTTTTGACGGGAGACATTGGCAATGTGCAGACAACAAAAGCAGCTGTTAGCTCTGCACGAATGGAGCCTGTTCACTGCTTGAATGTAAAGGTGAGTTGCACATACTGTAATAATATGGTGTCCTTCATCACTGATCACAGGACACTGCACGCAGGACGCTGTTGGCTGGATGTTTCTGGTTCGTGGACTATTCTCAGTTCAGCAGCGACACTGAGGTGTTTAAAAACTCCAGCAGCACTGCTGTGTCTGATCCGTTCGCACCAGCGCAACACACACTAACTCGCCACCACCATGTCAGTGTCACTGCAGTGCTGAGAATGATCCACCACCCAAATAATACCTGGTCTGTTGGGGTCCTGACCATTGAAGAACAGGGTAACAAAGTATGCAGAGAAACAGATGGTCTGTAATTGTAGAACTACATAATGCTCCTACAAGGTAAGTGGAGCTGATAAAATGGACATTGAGTGTAGATACAAGGAGGTAATAAAGTGTCCAGGGTTGTGTATTACTAATTGAGGTAGTGCATCATTGCACTAATTTTTTTCACTCATTTTTCACTCATTCATTTTTTCAAAAAAACAAAGTTTGAACAAGTCAGCCCAAGCTGTGTCAGGTCAGACATTCTTTTAGTATATAGTAGCAGTAACCAGGTATGTAAGGGGGAAAAACGTTTCTCCAAAATTAATTAAAATAGTCTTTATTGCAATAAAAGCAGTAGCAAAGCACATGAAAGGCACACCAGATTCAGCAGAAAAAACTGAACCCCAATTATCTGCTACATATAGTTTTAATGCTGGGAGTATTGTTTTGTGACTATGTTTTCTGAGGTCATTTAGGCTATCAGATTATCCTACCAATATGGTTTTAAGGTTGGGAGTATCGTTTTCGTTTTATTAGGTAATTTGGGCTATCAGATTATCCTACCAATGGTTTTAATGTTGGGAGTATCGTTTTATGAGGTGATTTAGGCTATCAGATTATCCTACCAATAGTTTTAATGCTGTGAGTATCGTTTTATGAGCTGATTTAGGCCATCAGATTATCCTACCAATAGTTTTAATGCTGTGAGTTTGACACATATGCTCTATAGATATGCGCTATGGTAGGACATTTCAACAAGGTAGGACAAATCGTCAGAATATTTCACTATCATATCATAATATATATATGTATAAATATATGTATATATATATAATATCATAATATTTCACTTGTCTTTATGGTGTAAAGAACATGCCATATGACGTCACATGGAGTGTGGTTGTCATTATTTAACATGGTGCCATCAGCTTTTCTATATTTCCTGGACTTTTTTCAAATTTAAATGCAAGTGCTAAATGGTGTTTGTAATTGCATATCTCATAGCAGTGTGCATTATTTAAGACACAATTCGAATTTGAATGCAAACCTATTTGCGTTTTAATTTATTGTATTGTATAATAGCTTGAAACTTTTAATATAGAAAAGCGTTTTTGACCATTCATTTTCATTATCTTAATACGGTCTGACTCTGACATAAAAAAACGCCCATTTTATTGTATTTCGTCATCATGGCCCTTCAGCTCTGCCAAAATGAATATTTGCAATCCTGTTTGCAACTGCATTTCCACTGTCAGCAAGGCAGTCCTGTCATTTAAGCGCTGTGGGTTTGTTGGATGTATCAAGCGGGTTAAAGAAGCCGCGATATCCATCTGAACGGACACCGATCACTGCCCCTATGGAAGGTCCTCGTCTGAGAAAGTCCTCAGCGAGCCGCCGACAGCACACAGCGCTACTGTCCACATTGGTCCAGGTGAGTAAACGTTAGCTGGCCGTTTTAGGTGGACCTTTTGCCATATACGAGTCACTAAGCTTACAAAGATTTTTTTAAACATTAGCTGGTATTATCGTTTGTTTATGAATAGAGGGTACATGTTAGCCAGCTAGCTAGCTAGTTAGTATTTGATACAGCTGCTGAAGCCGTCCTGCTAAGGTCAGCTAGTGCTGAACAGTCGTGCTAACTACGGGAAACATAGCGGTCGGTTGGGCACGTCATTAACGCAGATTTAAAGATTTGTCTGTATTGGCTGAATATAGCGAATTAAAACCTTATTGACGAAGGTAGCGGTCATTTTATTTCCCTTAATTCAGTGTGATTGATGGTGAAGGTCCTGATAAAAGCTAAGATCGCTAGCTAACGCTATTGATTCATCACGACAACACGCGTTTTCTGACATTAGCTGTTTCTGTTGTTGCCCTGTATAAGTATTTGCTAATAACTTCTTAGAAACACCACATAATTATTCTAGTAAAACGCTAACGTGAATAGCAGCTGTATATTGTGAATGCAGCGCTCCATATAGCGTCTACGTCGGCGTTCATCTTGGATTTTTGCGGGCTCTTTTGTAAAAGTTAGCCGTTAGCTATATTGAGCTACATTAGCTATATTTATCTAAGCTTGTAGTCACATACATGAATAGCTCGAGGCTCATTTTAAAACTGCCAGGAGCATATTTTTACTTTGAAATGAACTACCACAATTAATGATTATTTTACACTATTTGAAAGTAGTTAGCTTATGCAGCTAGGTAATTTGAGTAGCTAACGCTAGCTAGCTAGCTAGCATATTTTTTAAACAGCTCCAGAAGCTACAGCTGTGTTTCTAGATGTTGGTGGAGAGTGGAAATGTGGCAGTCATTCTGATGCTTCGTTCATTAGCTTTGGCTACACACGTTGAAATCATTAGTGAGGTTTTATTAGACAATGAAATGTCCTGTCAGAGATAAGTTACTGAATTAACTGACGCTGACTGTCGTCTTTTGCAAACAAATATTTGTTTCAGAAGCTGACTGGATTTAAAGTGTTATCTTTTTTTGAGAGTGTACTAGTGGAAATTAATTTTGGATGACTTTTCAATGCCTTTTAATTTATAATTTATAATTTTTTCCAAGGCCTTAGAACACCTTAAAATGACATTTTTACTGTGACTTTTTGGTCGTCTTTTCAACAGTTAAGCTTGAACGTCTTTTCAACTTTCATTTTCAACCATAAGAAAACATAAATTAAACAGCAGTTATGTACGTGATTTCAACGTTAAATCAACGGCCTTAAAATGACGTCTTTAATGTGACTATTTTGGCCGTTTTTTCAACGGCTAAGTTTAGACGTCTTTTCAACTTTCATTTTGAACCTTAATAAAGCGTAGTTTAAACGGCAGTCAGATACGTGATTTCAACGTTGTTTCAACGGCCAAATGTTTACTGGGTGGTGGTGAGCGGGCATTCGACGCCCCACTACGTTTTGAGCTCAGGAAGCGCACATAAAACCCAACAGGCAGAGTAAAACTGAGCGGCAGAGCCAATCAGAATCTCCATTTCAGCTGGGAGCCGTTTCAGACCTGCCGTGGTTGGTGCGAACCTGTCGAACTTTTTGTTTAGCTCTGTTTTGACATGGAAAACTCCACCCGCATTCTGGCAGCACCAAACAACTGAACCGTGCATTCACGAGGGTGTGCAACACCAGAGCACGCTTATTTCACTGCACATTCTCTCTGAGCTGTCTGCACAACCTGCTACTTTAACATTTCACTATTTACAAACGCCCACACGCGTGTTTGTTTATTGATCAGATGTTTTGCAGGGATGCAAGTGCTCTGCGAGCTGCTGTAAATAACGACAGACAAGCAATGATTAGCGTTTGATTATAGGTTTTGGAGTAATTCTTTGGCCAAGCATCAGCGTCTGATCGGTTAAACTTATTTTGGTATTCACAAAGATGTTAACTCTCTATTTTCTGTTTTTCTGTTTTCATGGCAGTGAGAGTAACAGAACGCTTGCATCCCTGCAAAACTTCAGATCACTAAATAAACACTCACATGTGTAATTTAGTCCACTTTAGCCCTTGCAGTCCACAATCCGAACCAGAGGAAGATAAAGATAAAACATCACAAAAGTACGGAGCCCCGGAGGGGACAGAGGTAAAAAAAAAAATAATAATTCGAGCGAACGTTTTGCAGTTCGTACGGACGTTTTCCTTTATTCGTGGTCACGATTTCTTAAATCGTTCCCTCGGTTTCTTTTAAACATGCGTACGTTTTCGTTACTTCGTGGGTACGTTTTTGTTTATTCGTGATCACGATGTTCTAATTCGTTCTCTCGTTTTCTTTTAATCATTGTCATACTTTATTTTTAACTGAACGCACGTTGTTTATTTTTTTGATTCGTGCGCAAAATCAGTGTAGTAGATACACACTGAGAAATGATACTTTGGACCAACTTAAAAAAATTACTCTAATTTGTTACACCTAAATTTATTAGTTATTCTCAAATTATATTCATGATTTAGTTGAAGTCTTACATTTGATTTAGTATCAATCAAAATACTTCTTTCCCCAAAGACAAAAAATTACTTTCAAACTAAGTAAAAAGATTATTTGTTATAAAGCACATACTGTTTTTTCACTTTGTTACAACTTATATTTTTATTTTGGAAAAACCTAATATTTACTATTACATCCAAGTATAGTTTTTACTTTAGAATAAAGTAATTAAAATACTCTAATTTGTTACAGGTAATTTTATTATTTTTCTCAAGTTAATTTTCTGATTCAGTATAAACTAAAATTTCTAATTATACCTTAAATCAATATTTTTTTTTTTTAGTCACAAGCCTAAAACATACTAAAGGCAGGCCAATAATATTTTTTTCTTTCTTGAGACTTTTTTTTTTTCCACAAACAAAAGCTACATTTGCTTTGATTTGAAAGTAGAATTTTCACTTCAGATAAAACCAAAACAATTTGGCTAGTCAATGTTTGATTTACAACAAATAGACAATAATATTCTCTTCAAAAGACCATAATGTTTAATGATGATGTCTTTTAAAATATGCCTTTTCTGTAGGTACAAAAAAAAAAACACCAAAAAAAAATAAAATAAAATATTAATACCATAATAAAAAATGAATATTTGTTTCATCAACACATAAACAAAACATACTAAATATCAACAAACATCAACAAAACATACTAAATATAAGATGAAGTAAATTATGGCCTTTTCAATATGTTTTTACTTTTAAACTTTTGCAACCTTTCTGTAACCTTAACCATTTACACCAACTGGCCACTTCATTAAAACCACCTCCTTGTTTCTACGCTCATTGTCCATTTTATCAGCTCCACTTACTATATAGGTGCACTTTGTAGTTCTACAATTACAGACTGTAGTCCATCTTTTTCTCTGCATACTTTGTTAGCCCACTCTTACCCTGTTCTTCAGTGGTCAGGACCCCCATGGACCCTCACAGAGCAGGTATTTGGGTGGTGGGTCATTCTCAGCACTGCAGTAACACTGACATGGTGGTGGCGTGTTAGTGTGCGTTGTGCTGGTATGAGTGGATCAGACACAGCAGTGCTGCTGGAGTTTTTAAACACTGTGTCCACTCACTTTCTACTCTATTAGACACTCCTACCTTGTTGGTCTACCTTGTAGATGTAAAGTCAGAAATGATAGTTCATCTGCTGCTGCACAGTTTGTGTTGGTCGTCCTCTAGTCCTTCATCAGTGGTCACAGGACGCTGCCCATAGGACGCTGCCCATAGGACACTGCCCACAGGATACTGTTGGCTGGACATTTGTTTGGTGGACTATTCTCCGTCCAGTAGTGACACTGAGGTGTTTAAAAACTCCAGCAGCTCTGCTGTGTCTGATCCACTCGTACCAGCACAACACACACTAACACACCACCACCACGTCAGTGTCACTGCAGTGCTGAGAATGATCCACCACCCAAATAGTACCTGCTCTATGGGGGTCCTGACCATTGAAGAACAGGGTAACAAAGTATGCAGAGAAACAGATGGACTACAGTCTCTAATTGCAGAACTACAGTGCTCCTATCTGGTATGTGGAGCTGATAAAATGGACAATGAATGTAGATACAAGGGGGTGGTAATAATGACATGGTCGGCCGGTGTTACATGTAAAACTGGTTTGTACATCTGTCCTTCAAAACTTGAGATGTACTCCAACAGCCATTAAGAAGTGCAAAAATAGCGTATACCTGTTAAACTTGGCTATCCTTTGGTGAACAGAAGAGAATGTGTGAATGTCACATTACAAAGTGAAATCAAAAGCATGGAAAAGCAGTTCAATTGCTGAGAGTGCAATCTATGAACAAAGGCTAGTACTACTGAAATGCTGGTTATTGTGAATATAGCATATTCACATTTTCAATGTTATTTTCAGTGCCACAATATTTCTACCACAGAAAGAATTCTGTTAACAATGACACATTCCATGTTTCCTGGAAGGTATTTGAATACATGCAATACAACAGAACAAAACACATGCTGTATCCAAATGTCTTTCTTTGATATATCAAAGATTTAAAGCTTGGCACTAAGACTGCACACTCTGTGTATCATTTTCTTTGGTTCTATCTCCATGAATATTTTCTGCAGTGCATCGAAAGTGTATTTGAGCTCACCTGGATAGCTCAAGTTTACAGCATAGATGAGGCCAAACAACATGGCACATGCATGTGCGACTGACGGCAACTCATTAAGGACTTCCACACCTTCAATTACAATCCCAATTTCATGTGGTGGTTGGAGAGGATTCTCATCCTCCCAGATGACAAACACTGCCATTGTACACCTCTCAAGCTCTGTTTCAGCTTCATTCTTCTGAGAAACCTGATAAAAGAGAAGACATTTACTACAAAGTTATTTTGATGGAGCAGCGGTCTAAGCATTGACCCCATCATCAGGAGATTACGGGTTCAATCCCTGGTGATGCTTCAGCCATCCACGGCTGAAGAGAGAGAGCACAATTGGCCTATCTCAGGGAAGGTGGGATGGGCCCCCATCTCCCCTCATCACACAAGCACGATGCTAGCATCCAGAGCTGGCCCTATGCATATGCGCCCAGGCGACCAAATTGAGGGGGATTTTCTAAATATTACAAAAATCCCACATCATCATAACTTGGAACAATATAAGTCCAAATATTTTGTGTAATGTGTGCACTGTGCGGCATCCCCCCTGTACATTACCCCCCCCCTTCACCCCCTTCATGCTCTACAGTTAGACTTACCTGTCTGTGGGGGAGGGGTGCCACGAGTGAATGCGTGCGTGCAGAATGTGATCAACACTAAACACAAAGATTAACTGCAACCCAGCAGCCACCAGACAATATGATAAAGAGGACGAAAAATGGCAAAAAGACAGAGGTAACGTGATGTGATGAATGCATACAACAGTTGCTTATTCCAGTTTTCCGTTCCACCTTAAACAGAGCACAAGTTCTACCAAAGGGCAAGGTAGAATGGAAAATTAAACTAAGCACTAAATACACCAAAAACACAAATAAAAGCTAACAAACTAATAAGCACTGATATTTATATGTAACCATTTCATTTGGTTTTGTTAAAGCACCGTTGTGAATAGAGGTTGTTGGCTTGGGTTCCACCTTAAACTTTATTACTGATTAGAATGTGTTTTTCACACTCAGAGAGTGAAAACTCCTGTACCTTCCACAACACCAGGTAAAGGAAGTTTTTCTTTCAACTCATAAGAAAATAAACTAACAATTCCACCTTAAACGGCGTTTGAGATATGGCTAAATCCTACATGTCTCCCTTTTCCCTATTTAGTGTATGTTGTAAAGTGATGATTTAATAGATTCTTTTTAATTATGCAAATTTGTTCATATTTAAGTTTGCAAATGGTCATTTTACACTTTATTTTATTACAATTATTTAAAAGAAATTGTGTTTTGAACATTTGATTTGATGTTTCTATGTACTGCCTAAATCAGGCTGTGATTTTGTGCTTCTATTTCAATGAAATGAGATCCAATGAAGTAACTTGCTACTTGAGTAGTCTTTTTACTAGATACTTTCTTACTTTTACTTAAGTAATAATTTAAATGACTACTTCTACTTTAATGTTTATACTTGGTTAATTATTATTTTAAAGTAACAGTACTTCTACCTGAGTGCAGTTTTTGGCTATTCTCCCCAACTCTGATCTGTTGCATAGTAATAGTTACAGTGAAACATTCAGAGCAAAGTTGTCAGCTAGATAATGTTCGCTAATTTAATAAATGGCTAGCAAGAGTTAGTGTCAGTTACTCCTACGCTGAATTCATTATGGAAAGTTGGAAAGACTATTCAGGTGTTTGGGAAATAACCTACATAAAAGTGTATTTGCATTTAATTTATTGATATAGTAATGTTTGTTGTCGGTTTTTTCTACAGCAGGAAAGCAACACCTTTTAAGGCGAGTAGATATTAATTTTTTCAGAGCATTTATACTTGTAACTCCTACTAGAGGTATCATTATTTGTCTCCATAAACCTTTTGAACGTACAATTCTGAAAACTGATTGAAAAACACTGATTTCCTTATTTGGGACGATGACTGCAAACATTATCGTTTAAGTTGAATATTTGATATTTTTATAGACATTTAAAACTGCACTGGCTACTTACCATTTTACTTATTTATTGCAAATTAACTTACATTAATTTGGGAAAAAGTATTGATTTGTTTTCATTTTAAGTTGAGGTTGTGTCAATTCTTGAAATGTGAAAAATTTTAAAATGTAAAAAATATGAAGTAAACCCAACGTTTAATTTTTACATTCACACGTAATATCCACTACATTCCAAATAGGGATGCCCGATTGGAACTGCCCATTTTTTGCTCCAAACACACAATCAGTAAAAAACAGCCAATTTATTATTCTGATCTTGGCAGATGTTTTATTAGCAGTTTAATGATGTGAATAATATGAAACCAGAAAGTGAAGGTGTGCTGCATTTGAATGCTGCTTCTACACCTAAAACTATGTTATTTAAATAGGCAACTAGGGTTTCTTTTATACTTTAAAATGGCAGTTTGGTTAAAGAGCAAATAATGTCAGTTGTGTTACAACTTTGGCTAATACAAAGTACTGAAAATGAGCTAGTGAATTTTATGTCTTCACTTTGTGCATAAATGAGAGTTCAAAGTTTATCATTTCTATTTAAACATACATGCAAATGTTCACAGCTGTTCATTTTGGAACTTACCAAATTCAGCAATACGGCTACAATTGTGACATTTTCAGCAAAGAAGCGCGAACCTGTAAACACAGATAAAGGTGAGATTTCAAATATAGTTTTGTTGTTGTTAGAACAGTTAGCAAAATCCATTATTGTCACTACAGACTCTAATTTATTAACTAGGCCTTAGACACACTGATGGTATTGCACAAATTATACTGACAGAAGTAATACTGTAAATTAAATTCTTCCTTAATCAGTACTCACTGTCTACTACTTCATCCACTCATTATTTTTATTATGCATAAGAATAATATTATTCATGAGTGAGTTCATAATATTTATTCACAAAATATGAAAAGTCTATAAACTAATGGTTAGTTGTCCATCCTGCCACTAAACATAAATGAAAACGCGTTCCCCTTAAACAAAAGATACAATGCATCACTTATGCGAAGCACCGAAGCTCAATTCTCAATTGTAAGTCGGCCCTCAATATCCAGGACGGTTAACGACGCAGGACCTCCACAAAAGTGGAAAAACTCGAATATCTCTAGGCCCCCAAAACCTTAATGTCGTCTCTTCATAATGCTGACCACATGCACTACCCAAAAACATTTTGTAAAACCAAGTCAAAGAGCTGTCTATCCTGCTACTAACCATTTCTGAGCGAAATAATGGCGGACAGCAAAACTCGACCAGGAGTGATCTGATATGACGTCACGAGGTCACGTGACATCAAAAGGTCTGGCTTAAAGAAAAAATATTATATCAATAAAATTATTTCTTTTACGTTTTTTGGGAGGAATGTTATTTGCTTTTGGGCAAACTGAACAAAACAGGTTTGAACTGAAAATCATGATTTTCAATTACACCAATATAAAAATACACTTTAAATAAATTACATGGTTGTTTCACTTTTTTCAGTGCAGGTCGTGTTTTTTGTCTGGTGCAGAAGTAAATAACAGCTCCCTGACACTGTCTGATGGGTTTTGATGAGTTAGATTGATGAGATAATGGACAGAGATGCTCATTAGGTCTGAAAACGAGGGAACGACTTAAGAAATCGTGACCACGAATAAGAGAAAACGTGCGTACGAACTACAAAACGTTCGCTCGAATTAATTTCTTTTACCTCCGTCCCCTCCGGGGCTCCGTACAAAAGCAAACATTTTTTTGAAACAATATGTTTTGCCACACCACTTTTGGAGGTGTGGCGCCACCCCTGGAAACCACCAATGAACTTATGCATGTCTTCTGAGGTTTTATATGTAATGTTGATGATGGTGATAGTGCCTGTGAAAATGTTATCTTTGTTGACTTTTTTGTCTTGTGACCCTCCGCCGTAAATAGATTAAAATAAACTTTAAGGCCAAAACTTCATCGCAAAATTACCGTAAAACATAACCATTACATATAATAACCTTCTGTGAGGGAGCTTTTAGAGGTGGACGTCTGGTTCCTACCACAACCACTGTGAACAAGACTCTCTAGAACAAAACATTTTACGCCAAAGTACTCTGAATTTGTTTACGTCTTAACTGTTTAATAATGCAGTTCCCCTTTAAAGGTGTGTTCTAGCTTCGTGGTCCAAACTGCTTCCCTTCAGCCTCCTGATAAGGCACTGATTCGCACGCTCATATAGATAATTGTACATACCTGGATTTATTTCTTATCTTTTATTTATCTTTTCATTCTGGCACATGACAAATGTATATGGAAAATACAAGTGCATGTTCCTATTTGCCAGAGATTGTCTTTTTTAGGCTGTTATCATCATTTCTTACCACTAGACGGCAGCCGACTGCTACGAGCATCAATGATGTGGCCTTGTATGTCCAGGAGCTCATGTGACTCCAGTGCCCTTTAAAAGAGCAGCGGGCACAGACGGTGACACTGGGTGACAGAACGAGCGTAAACCATGTCTCTGTACCGGAATTCAGCGTGGTTCCTCAAAGGACTCACCGAATTTACCAAGTAAGAACCAAAATTACAGCATATACAACTGTACAGCAAATGAATCGTATAACATCAAATCTTATTTACCTTGTTAGTTTTAAATTGCATGATTTATGGATTGAAACAATCTAATTTTGCTCAGTAATTTGGAATTGTTTAAATACGTTATTGTAGTTAAATATTTTCCTTTGACAAATAATACTATAATATTTTCGGGAAAATTATATACATAAACCCACTTTTTTGCGCTTGTAAAAACATCATGTATCATTAGAATAAATGAATATAAACATAAATACACTGGCAGGCTGTTCAGTGGCTGTTTTCAGAAAAGTAGCTGAAAGTTTGTTTGGTTGTAGACCAACACCCCTAGCCATCGCATAGATGTATTAAATTCTATTACCAGCACACTTGTTTGAGATAATGAAGTACTGACTAGCCAAAGTAGATTCTGGATGATAACTACATATAATTCTGGAATTCTGGGTTGCCTTGGGAAGAGTTTTGGAAATGGTTATATGAATACACTGGATTAATAAAACAGGCTCATTCAAAAATGAGTGCTTTGCTTTTCTGAACTGAATTTGCATATATATATATATATATATATATATATACATAATTCTTGCATACCTAAATTAAAACTTGCTAAAAGAGCTAAGAAGTTTAGAAGTGTTTCCATTTATTGCTAGATGTTTCATATTGTGTAGATATGTACTTGTGACTGATATATGCTGCATGTGTTTAAGCAACAAAATTAATTTATGAATTGACTTATCTGACAAGGAATATGAGGAACCTGTATGTTTTTGTTTGTTTGTTTGTTTTATATTTTACATACATTTTTCACATGGCGTACATTTGCCTGACTTTTGTGAAGGAACATTTTAGCAAGGAAATGTACATTGCAATGCAAAAGTAATGCAAATGCAAAAGTAAGAGCACAAGCATAGACCAATTTGAAGTGGATGTCACAGTTACATCACTGGCATTCAAAATGCGCATTGTGGTGGTGGAGAAACAGCAGAAAAAAAATGGAGAACAACAGGAGAGATCCATAGAATAACAACAAAAATGTCTTCTTGTGCTGTTGGACGCTAGAATAGGAATGGAAAATAGAATACCATCATCATGCCATATGTGTCCTTTCCATTCTGACACACAGCTCAACCTTTAAAATCAGTGTGGCTGCATGGCTGCAGCTAGGCTAGGCTAGGCTACTGAAGCTTGCTTCCAAAACAACCACACTGGCAGTACCTATCCCCTCAGAATAAAGATCTGTGCAAAAAATACATTAGCATTTCTAATAACACAAACACTAATATAAACTAAACGAACAGGAAGTACTCTGACACCACACTGCCGCCCATCTGTTTGAGAGCAGTGACCCCGCTGCTTACCAGTCCCACCAAGTCTCTGAAATGTCTAGGAGTCTGTTGCCTCCACTGTGAGGGCATCTAAATCAAGGGGGCAGCAAGCCTTGCCCCTGGCTTAGCCTTTGAGCCATCCGCTGTGGTCGTTGGTATGATGATGGAGAGGGGGTTGGATCTCTACATGCCGGGCGGAAGTGGTCGCTCTTGTGGCAGTATTAGCAGTCACCATTGATCATCCACTTCGCGACCACTTAAAGGCCACTTTTATTAGCGGTCGCCATTGAGCAGCCACATCGCGGCCACTTTTCTTAGCGGTCACCATTGAGCAGCCACATCGCGGCCACTTTTATTAGCGGACACATCACGGACACTTTTATTAGCGGTCGCCATTGAGCAACCGGATAGAGGCCACTTCGCGGCCACTTTTATTAGCGGTCGCCATTGAGCAGCCACATTGTGGCCACTTTTATTAGCGGTCGCCATTGAGCAGCCACATCGCGGCCACTTTTATTAACGGACGCTATTGAGCAACCACATCGCGGCCACTTTTATTAGCGGTCGCCATTGAGCAACCACATTGCGGCCACTTTTATTAGCGGTTGCCATTGAGCAGCCACATCGCGGCCACTTTTATTAGTGGACGCCATCGGTCACCCACATCGCGGCCACTTCGCAGCCACTTTTATTAGCTTTTTTCTATAACTTTTTAATGAAGTAAATAGGAAAAAAAATGTCTAAGTAAATAGTAACCCATCACACACGAATTTATCTGACTTACTAAAACGCCATGTAAAAATGTTAGCCATGTTATTATGTTAGCCATGTTATTTTGTTATATATAGATTGGTGTTGGGGGGATCAAAGTCAGAAGACTCATTCTCAAAAAGCTGAGACTGAGAATGAAGTGAGAGATTTAAAGGCATGAAAAAACACACAATACATGTAAAAAGACATTGTAAAGAAGTGTTGAATTTGCGTTATAGTTCTTAAACTTTAAATATTAAATGAAATAATAAATATTAACTATATACAAGTGTATTGAGTAATTGGCAAATGAATAAATCCAAAGATTTAAACAAGAAAAAAAGTAAACAGAATAAACATGGGGTGTTCTTTATTTGACACTAACAAACATAATTTAATTTAAGCATTAAATACTTTGTAAACATTACTAATGTCTTAATAATGTTAATGTTCATGGTTTATTAATGTTAATAAATGTAGTAAATAATTTTCACCGAAGAATTACCAAAACAATTACAGCAAAAGAAGAAAGAATGTAGGAAAGGAAATGCAAAAAACTTAAAAGAAGTTAAAGATTAAACATAAACATAAAACAATACAACTGAACTGCTTTCTCTGTTATTTACATACACATTTTAAGTTTGTCCTTTATTATTATTTAAATATAAAATACCTACTGATTTGCAATAAGCCTACAAAACAGAATATCAATGTTTAATTATCCTTGCCTGTCAAGTTTAACAAAATGTGTGGTCTAGTTCAGCATACCTTAAATAGAGTGTGAGTAGTGTTAAACAGAAACAGACATCAGCCTATCAGGGAGTTACAGCAATATTAGTTGTAATAAAATATTAGATTAGTCTCCCATAAGGAGAATATATATATATATATATATATATATATATATATATATATATATATATATATATATATATTTCAAATATACTTCTGAAATATATTTTTGCAATATATGAAAATGGCCAATTCATTTCAAAAGATACAAATTCATTTCAAAAAACGGTCGTTAATAAAAGTGGCCGCAATGTGGCTGCTCAATGGTGGCCACTAATGAAAGTGTGTCTGGGCTTTCCACTGTGGCTGTTGTGGTTCACTGTGCGGCTGAGGGAATCTGACCCCACTCTGGTGCTGCCAGGAACCTGGACAGGGTTCTCTGTGCAGCCTCCAGGAGTCCCGGTTTGTTGTGGTTTTGCTTTCTCCACTGACGCTGGTGATGACAAGTGCACATGGCGCTGGTCATGTGCGCTGGGGCCCTGTGGGACTCTGTGCCTTGGTTCTGCCTCCAGCTGCTGCCAACAGTTTCATTTGCCATCTCCAAGCCCAGTGTTTCCTTCATAAGTTTGAACATGGCCCCGACGCGCCTCTTTTGGTGAGTGGGAGCACACTTGGTCACAGCCTCACCACCTGTATGAACACATCCAGCGCTAAGCTACCAGGGGATCATGTGCTGTCTTCAATGAAGTCTCTCTTTAACAAAATTATACTATTTCAAGAATATTGGGAGAATAAGGGAGCGCAGCGATCCATACTTGTTTGTGTGATGCATATTGTTTGTGTGATGTTTATGTGTAGATATGGCTGTGTGGTTGATGAAGTGCAGAGAACCTGTTGATGTGATCGT